ATGAGCTGAAATATATGTTTTATATTGAGGAGATTAAATGTTTGTTTACGCCATTTCTCCAGTAGGATCTTCATATATATTATAATGCTACTATTATTACAATTTAATGTATTTATTCATTAGTTAATAATTCATTATATAAATTTTTTAGAGAATTGAACGCAAATCAATCGAAAGATATTGCAATATAGAAATGTCTCATTATGAAAAGCTATCCTCGATACGAAATAAGTTGGACAGATATATAGAGAAACCTGAAAAGAACAGCTTTTAGAAGAAATTTGTACTTTCATAGCACAACGTATTCAACCTCGAAAAGATGTATGTTACACGAATGTAAGTGCATCATTGGATACAATCGCACAAGAGGTACTGACTTGTCTCAGAGTGAAGCATCCGAACCATTCGATATTCTCCACGTCAGAAGAAACTTTTTCCTATTGGAAAAGCAACAATATCGAAGATAATCATTGGAACGAAACAGAAAGTACGCAGATTATGGATACACTTAAGAAATATATATTTGGTACCATGAACTTTCGACCATGTAGCTACTCACGTAATGTAGACATCAAATGTTTGTGTATAAATAATGTAAGTTATAGATTATAATACATATATAATTATGGGCTACATATATGTATATGTTATATATTGTTCTTAATATACTCTCGCTTAAATTAATTTATTCTGTATTGCACCTGGCACAGATTTTACAAAGTAAACATGGTCAAGCTATCATTATATTTGCAATATTTCATAGCGTGGCTAGAAGACTTGGTCTACGTTGCGATATAATACTTATTTGGCCTCGCTATTGTATATTTTGGAGACCGAAATTGTAAGTATAGATACATTAGATTCGACATTATCATCATTTTTCGGTAATCTTTCTTTTCTTCTTATACGCATACATATATAATTTTTATTATAAATATTTTTATAAGGATTAAAATAATATTTTAACTGTTTACAGCGTCACAAGTAGTTTAAAAATGCACAATGCTTTCACATAAAAAACGAGAATTTTCCGAATTGTCTTTTTTATCATATATCAGTGTACAGGATGCAAACAAATTGCTTTCGCGACCTCGCAATAACAACTAAAAAGGTTGAAAATTATTTATTTATTATTTATATTAATTTTAAGTTAAAAATATACTTGTAAATTTACAAAGAATCAATAAATTACAATAAATATGTATAGGATGAAGAGAAATGTACTGTCTCTCATTTTTTTATTTATATAATAAGATCTTTGTTTACATTTAATCTTTGTTCATGTTTAATTTGCTTTTTAGATGTTGTTGATATTAAAAATTTCGTTGAAAAGTTTATAATGAATCATGAAATAACAGATTTGGGATTAGTCAAAGTAAAATGTATAATTTAAACAGAAAACGGATCATGTATTGTATTATATAATATATATACAATTGTAAAAATATATTGAACTTTGTGATGCTTTTAGATAACAATTATGTATAATTTACAATTTTTTATAATTTAACGTGTTTAAGTGTTTAGTGAGACATTTATTCACTATATGTATATAGAAAGAAAAGAAATGTAGAATCTCTCATTTTTAAATTTATAATTAGATCTTTGTTTACATGTCGTCTTTATTCATGTTTAATTAATTTTTTAGATGTTGATGTTAACAAAAAATACTGTTATAGATTTTATAACGGAACACAATAAAAACTTTGCGATTACACCAAATTGATTGTAATAAGTAAAGAACATACGCGCACTAACAATCGCATATTAGTATATAATATATATACAATTGTAAAAATATTGAACTTTGTGAGATTCTTTTGGATAATAATTCTTTTAGATAACAATATGTATAATATACAATTTTTTATCATTTAACGTGGTTAAGTGTTTATTGAGACATTTATTCACAAAAAATCAATTAAAGTACAAATTTTACAGTTTGTGTCTTATATTTAGTTTAAATAGTAGAATAAATAAATAAAAACGGAAAATATGCCGTAGTTGCATGGACCAACATAATAAACAGATGTTATATCGACATATAAATATATACATGTATATGTTCGACTTTTGTAGATAAATACTATGCCCTATTTTTGTATGCAATGTCAATTGAGAATCAACGACGAATAAAATATATTTATTATTCTCTGCTATATTTATTGTATTAATTAATATAAACAATAAAATAAGAAAAATTGTGATTGTAAGAATTTGAATTAGTGCAGTAAAATATATAAATTTAAAAATTTAGATAAATTAATTAATTTATGAACTTTTTTAAATACTTTAAGTATATGCAAAAGATAACATAATTAAAATTTACCATTTATTAATATATATTATTTTGAAACTTTTATAATCGATAGTGTTGCATTTGTATAAGTATAAATAGATATGTTAATAAAAGACAATGATTTATATATTTTGAAATATACATAATTCTTTTGTATTGAAGGAAACGAGAAAAGCTTATAAATGATATTAGATATGATATTAGTATAATTGCAGATTTATTGTAAATTCATGCAATTCTAAGATTGCTGTGCAAAAATACGTTAAATTTTGTATTTTGAACAAAAAATAAACGCCACGCGTTAGGTAAAAGTATTTTTTCATTTTTGTTTTAAACTCATATTATTTGCGATCCATATTTATCTCGTATCCATGATTTTCACAAAATTATTACAACTCCAAATTAAAATAAACAGTCGACACAATGCATAGCACTGCAGTTGTAAAGTGTAAAAATAAATATATGAAAATGAGTAAAATTTAATAAAATAATTAATAATTTGAAATAATATTATTTTAATTAAACTTAAATAATACATAATATAAATACATGGAAATTTAAAATAATTGACATATTTGAAAAAAAATTATTTTAATTAAGCTTAAATGATAAAAAAAAAAAAAAATAAATAAATAGTGATAATAAAATAAATAATAAATAAGTTATTTACCACGTTCTATCTTTTAAGCGCATAAGAAAAACTGGTAAATTTGCTAGATCTAAATTACATTTTCTGCGCATGTCGTAACAAATCCTTATACCTGTATCTTAGTGAAAACAAACAATAAGGCTTTATAATTTGAGGTCAAATTTTATAATAAAGAACAGAACGTCTACAGTGTGGAAAACGTCTCTCGTGTACATCAAACACACATCTGTGCTCTTCGTAATCGGCAGACGCATTTCTTGTACTGCGAAAAGCAAGGAATTACGCGAATAGTTTATTGCAACCACTTTAATTTACATTCCTTTTTGTGTTTTGTTTCTCATAATGTCTGATTATAAGATAACGTGCTTACCAGAGGAGATGATAAGCCACATTCTCGACGATAATGTACTCACTATTGAAGATATCATCAACTTTCGATGCGTGTGCAAGCAATTTCGTTATGCAGCCACATATGACAAGTTCTTGGAAAAAAAGTTATCTCAAAGGTAATTCTTGTGGTTTGTACATCTTTTTGTTATTTTGTCTCATTAACGCCTGTCGCGCAATGTATATCACTTCTGCGAAGAACGTATATTATATATATATAATAAATAAAAAATATTGAAAATATAGTGTAAAAAAATAAACTTAAATAATATAAAAACATATAAAGGAAAATAGATTATATACTGTCAAAAATTAAAAGACCAAATATTTTTCAACCGACATTCGTCAATTGATGTTTATTTAACTAATCACACAACGTTTCGACCACGGTGTTTCGTCGATATAATTTTGGTCCTTCGCACACTTAACAGTAACACTTGAGATAACAAAAATTATATGAAACGTTGTGTGATTAATTAAATAAATATTAATCAGCCTATATATATATATGTCGAAAAATATTCTGTCATTAAATGATTTCTTTTTAGATTTTATTATTAAAAATACAACATAAAAGTAACTTAGTTTATTTATTATAATGTGTATTCTTCAATATATCTAATTGCATTTTTAAATATAAAAATATATATGATATATATTCGTGATAGAAACAAACAGATTTGATATTTTTTTTATAAATAACATTAAAATCACAATAAAATCTTTATAACATTAAAAACATGCCAAGTGACATATATAAGCACAGTCGACATTGTTTGTAAATATGCTTTCGAAAAAATTGTTCTACAAAATATTAAAAAAACTTAATTTATACATACATACACATAAGCACATTAATGTTTATTAACTGCATACAGAATACACTTATAAAATTATGCAATATACATATTGAAATCAAAATGTGAAAAGTATAAATTAAATTACAAATTAAAATTAACTAATATATATTTTCTTTTTCTCATTAAAGTACAAAAAAAATGACATATATATACTCATGCTTTGAATTGTCTACTTTAAAAATTTATTAATTTGAAAAATTACTTGTGCAATCATATTGTTTACTATCATCAAAGTTTGCTGTGTGTTATCTAAATAAAATTAAATGGAAGAACTGTGGCGTCGTTTTATCTGCATATAGATAATAAAAATATGTATTATCTTTATATCTGCATCTTACAAGTACATAAAAAAAAGTACTACCTTTACTATATTATTTATCTAGAATAATTTTCAGATAAATCTGGTTTAGAATCATAGCACATAAGAATTCTTAAAGTAGACAGAAAGCGATAAAATTTATAAATAAAAATATAAATACATATATTGATGTTTTATAAATTTATAATTAAAAGTTATAAATTATCTATATGATATTTATATCTTTTATCTATATACTTATCCTTATCCTTTAGGATCTTTATCCAGCTAATTTTAAATTAATCTCGACACAAGACTAAGAATCATTATCAAAAATTTATTACAATATTTTATGGTCGTATTTTAGATGGCCCTATGCAAAGAAAAGATATGATGTTCTTAAAAAAACAAAATGGAGAAAACTTAAACTTTGTCACAATAGGCATAAATTCTGCGACACAATTGCGAAATTATTTGTCTCTAATTCTTTTTCATGATTATTATTACAATAAAATATCAAATCAAAATTATTTCAATGATTTAATTAATAATGTAGTATTGGAATTCGATGATGTAAAGAAATTCAGTGATAATTTCGATGAATATGCAAATCGTTTGAATGAAAATGAACTTGTTTTTAGACGTACACGTAAGCCTATAAATGTGCTGAAATGTATGTTTTATATTGAGGAGATTAAATGCTTGTTAACACAGTTTCCACAGTAGGATATTCATATATATTATAATGCTACTATTATTACAATTTATTGTATTTATTCATTAGTTAATAATTTAATATATATAAATTTTTTAGGAAAATTGATCGCAATTCAATCCAAGAATTTTGCAAGATAGAAATGTCTCACTATGAGAAGCTATCTTCGATACGAAATGAGTTGGACAGATATATAAAGAAACCTGAAAGAGAACAGCTTTTGGAAGAAACATGTACTTTCATAGCACAACGTATTCAACCTCGAAAAGATGTATGTTACACGAATGTAAGTGCATCATTGGATACAATCGCACAAAAGGTACTGAATTGTCTCAGATTGAAGCATCCGAACCATTCGATATTCTCCACGTCAGAAGAAACTTTTTCCTATTGGAAAAGCAACAATATCGAAGATAATCATTGGAACGAAACAGAAAGTACGCAGATTATGGATACACTCCAGGAATATATATTTAGCATCTTGAATTTTCGAGCATGTATCTCCCCATTTTCACCCGAAGATATCAAATGGATTTGTATAGATTATGTAAGTTATTAAAGATTATAATATATATAATTATGGGCCATATATGTATATATTATATATTGTTCTTAATATTCTCTCGTTTTGATCAATTTGTTCTGTATTATACCTGGCACAGGTATTACAAAGTAAATATGGTCAAGATATCGTTGTATATACAATATTTCATAGCGTGGCTAGAAGACTTGGTCTACGTTGCGATCTAATAAATGTTTACACTGAAATCTGTATATTTTGGAAATCAAAATTGTAAGTATAGTTATATATTAGATTCGACATTATCATTATTTTTCGATAATCTTTCTTTTTTTATTATACGCATACATATATAATTTTTTATTATAAAAATTTTCATATGATTAAGATAATATTTTAATTGTTTACAACGTCACGAATAATTTAGAAAATGAACGATGTTTTTACATAGAAGACGAAAATTTCCCGAATTGTCTTCATAATTATCTACCAGGTTACAAGTCTTGTGAAACAAATCATGACGTCATCAAAATAAGAACTGAAAAGGTTGAAACTTATTTATTACTTCTATTAATTTTAAGTTATTAATATGCTTGTAAATTGACAAGCAATTAATAAATTACATTATATGTGTGTAGAAAGAAAAGAAACGTACATTTCTCATTTCTTACATTATAATTAGATTCTTGTTTACATTTAATCTTTTTTTATGTTTAATTAACTTTTTCAGATGTTGGTCATGATAAAAGATTGTGTTAAAACGTTTATATGGACACATAATAATCTATTTGGGATTAGTGAATTGTAATGTGTAAAAAACATACGCGCACTAACATAATCGCTAGTTAGTATATAACATATACCATTGTAAAAATAAAGGGCATTGTGAGATATTTTCAGATAACAATTATGTATAATTTACAATTTTCTATAATTTAACGTGTTTTAAGTGTTTATTGAGACATTTATTCACAAAAAATCAAAGTAAAAAATTTACAGTTTCTGTCTTATTTTAAATAGTAGAACACATAAATGAAAACGTGAAATATGCTGTGGAAATTATCATAATATATAATCCACCTACAGATCAATCTACAGATTTGGACCAACATAATAGATAATAGGATGTTATTGACATATACATATATACATACATGTTCGACAATTGAGAATCAACGATGAATAAAATATAGCTATTATCTTTCTGCGATATTTATTGTATTCATTAATATAAATAATAAAGTAAGAAAATTTTGTGACTACATTAATTTGAATTAGTGCAGAAGAATTAATAAATCTTAAAATAAAAAAATTAATTAGTTTAATAACTTTTTTTAACACTTTCAATATATGCAAAATATGACGTAATAAATTTGCCATCTATTAATATCTATTATTTTGAAACATATATAATCGATAGTGTGTTGCATTTGTATAAGTATAAATAAGTATGTTAATAAAAGACAATGATTTTTATATTTTCAAATATACATAATTCTTTTGTATTGAAGGAGACGATAAAAGCTTATAAATGATATTAGATTTTGTATGATATTAGCATAATTTCAGATTTTGCAAATTGATCTCAATTTTAAAATCTCAATTTTAATTCCTCAGTTTCCGATTCAGCGACTTTTGGACCGATATATTTTGCTTTTCTACATCTTTCTAAGGAGATCAAAAGGAAACATAATCAAAGGGAATAAAATCTTAAATTGAGATTTATTCAGAAACATCTGCGTTGAGTTCGCATAGTCTGTTCATTTTGAGTTTGTATTTAATCCATAAAATTTTAAATTCTTATAAAGTTTAGATTACTAAAATATATACACCCCATATATACGCGCGAATAAAACTACATATAATTGTAAAATATTCTTATATAAACTATTTGTACATGCATCATTTATTAAATATTCGTATTGTAAATCGGAAATTTTATTTTAGCTGAAAATTTTATCTGTAAAGATTTGAAACATGCAAAATGTAAATCTCTCTCTTTCCCTTTCTCTCTTATCGAGAACATTTCATAATGCACAGCACTGGAGTTGTAAATTGTAAAATATACATACATAAAAGTTGGTAAAATTTAATAAAATAAATGATTACTTGAAATAAAATTATTTTAATTAAGCTTAAATAATAAATAATACAAATACATGGAAATTAGTAAGATTTTAAATAACTGATAAATTTGAAAAAATATATTATTTTAATTAAGCTTAAATAGCGAACAATACATAAATAAATAATAATAATAAAGAATAATTAATAAATAACTTATTAACCACGTTCTATCTTTCAAGTGCACAGGAAAAAGTGGAAATTTTTGCTAGTTCTTAATTACATTTTCTGCGCATGCCGTGACAAATTCTTATACCTGTATCTTAGTGAAAACAAGCAATAAGGCTTTAAAATTTGGGGTCACATTTCATAATAAAGAACAGACCGTCTGTAGTGTGGAAACGTCTCTCGTGTACATCAAACACACATCTGTGCTCTTTGTAATCGGCAGACTCATTTCGTGTACTGCAAAAAGAAAGGAATTAATTACGCGAATAGTATATTGCAATCACTTTAATTTATATTCCTTTCTTGTATTTTGTTTTTCATAATGTCTGATTGTAAGATAACGTACTTACCAGAGGAGATGATAAGCTACATTCTCAACGATAACGTACTCACTATTGAAGATATCATTAACTTTCGATGCGTGTGCAAGAAATTTCGTTTTGCAGCCAAATATGACAAGTTCTTGGAAAAAAAGTTATTTCAGAGGTAATTCTTGTGATGTGTAAATCTTTTTATTTTGTCTCATTAACGCCTGTCGCACAATGTATATCACTTCTGCGAAGAACGTACATTATTATTAAATAATAAATAAAAAATATTCGAAAAATTAGACATGTTGCATATTAAATTATTCGCTTTCATTTTTTTCTATTGCTCAATAATTTTGGCAAACTCTACCGTTATACATATATAATAACATATACATATATACATACATATATATATATATATATATATATATATAGAATGTAAACGTTAAATATACTGATAAGAATTCATAATTTTCAACTGTCAAAATTAAAAGACCAAATATTTTTCGACCGATACTTGCCAATTGATGTTTGTCTAATTAATCACACATTGTTTCGACCACGGAGTTTCGACCATAATTTTGGTCCATCGCACACTTGACAGTACACTTGAGAACGACAGATATTCTATAAAACGTGTAAGGTTGGGGAACGCTCCTTCAAAAGCGCCTTCAATCCCTCAGGGTAAGAATAAAGAATTGAATTGAATATATATATATATATATATGGAATGTAAACGTTAAATATAATATACTGATAAAAATTCTTAATTTTCGGCTGTCAAAAATTAAAAGACTAAATATTTTTCGACTGATACTGGCCGAATGATGTTTATTTAATTAATCACACAAAGTTTATATTCGTCATTAAAACAAACAGGATTGATATTTTTTTATCGGTTTTTCAAATAAATAACTGAAATCATAATAAAATCTTCATAAAAGTAAAAGCATGCCAAGTAACATTTATAAACACAGTCAACATTGAATGTAAATATGTTTTCGGAAAAATTGTTCTAAAAATTATTTAAAAAAATTTTTAAATATACACACACACAAACATTAATGTTTATTAATAGCATGTAGAATACACATATAGAATTACGCAATATACATATTAAAGTCAAAATTTGAAAATATAATTTTAATATACTTTTAGGAATATGTAATTCAAAAATAAATATTTACATAGATAATTGAAAATTTAAATTGAATATTATATATTTTATTTTTATGATTAAAGTATATAAAGAAGTGACATACATGTACTCATGCTTTGAATTGTATACTTCAAAAAATTTATTAATTTGAAAATTACTTGTGCAATCACATTGTTTACTATCATCAAAATTTGCTATGTGTTATCTGAATAAAATTAAATGGAAAAACTATGGCGTCATCTTATCTGCATATAGATAGTAAAAATATAAATTATCTTTATATCTGCATTTTAGATAAAAAAATTATTATCTTTACTATATAATTTATCTAGAATAATTTTTAGATCATTTTGGTGTAGAGTCATTGCACTTAAAAATACTTAAACTAGACAGTAAAGCGATAAAAATTTATAAATAAAAATATAAATACATATATTATTGTATTCCTCTTATAATTTATGTTTTGTATAACTGTGTTTACGTAAGCAATCTTAAATATTAACAATTATCTAGATATATCGCCATATAATTAAATATTTTGTCTAGATATACTTAAAACAAAATCATCTTTATCCTATTTAGGATGAATTACATACTTTTGTCTCATCTTTATCTAGCTAATTTTAAATTAATCTTGACACAACACTTAGTATCATTATCAAATATTTATTACAATATTTTATGGTCGTATTTTAGATGGCCCTATGCAAAGAAAAAATATGAAAGTCTTAAGGAAACAAAAGATGGAAAAAACATAAACTTTATTACAGAAGGCATGAATTCTGTGATTCAATTGCGAAATGATCTGTCTCTAATTCTTTTTTACGATTATTATTACAAAAATAAAGCAAATCAAAATTATTTTGACTTATTTGCTAATGTATTAACATTCGAAAATGTCATGAAATTTAGCGGTAATATCGATGAATATAAAAATCAATTTCTTGTTCCTAAAAGGACACATGAGCATATAGATGTGCTAAAAAATATGTTTTATATTAAGGAGATTAAATTCTTGTTAACACAATTTCCACAGTAGGATCTTCATATATATTATAATGCTACTATTATTACAATTTAATGTATTTATTCATTAGTTAATAATTCAATATATACAAATTTTTTAGAGGAATTCATCGCAAATCAATTGAAAGATATTGCAATATAGAAATGTCTCACTATGAAAAGCTATCTTGGATACGAAATGAGTTAGACAGATATAGTGTGAAACCTGAAAAAAAAAACAGCTTTTGGAAGAAATTTGTACTTTCATAGTACAACGTATTCAACCTCGAAAAGATGTATGTTACACGAATGTAAGTGCATCATTGGATACAATCGCACAAGAAGTACTGAATTCTCTTAGAAAGAAGCATCCGAACCATTCAATATTCTCCACGTCTGATGAAACTTTTTCTTATTGGAAAACCAACAATATCAAAGATAATCATTGGAATGAAACAGAAAGTACGCAGATTATGGATACACTCCAGGAATATATATTTGGCACCTTGAACTTTCGATCCTGCAAGTCCTTTCGCGTACATATCAATTGTTTGTGTATAGATTATGTAAGATATTATAGATTATAATACATATATAATTATGAGCCATATATGTATATGCTATATGTTGTTCTTAATATTCTGTCGCTTTAACTAATTTATCCTGTATTATACCTGGCACAGGTTTTACAAAGTAAACATGGCCAAGATATCATTGTATATACAATATTTCATAGCGTGGCTAGAAGACTTGGTCTACGTTGCGATGTACTAGATATTGAAAATAAATTCTATATATTTTGGAAACCAGAATTGTAAGTATAGATATATATTAGAATCGACATTATTATTATTTCTCAATAATCTTTCTTTTTTTATTATACGCATGCATATATAATTTTTTATAATAAAAATGTTCATAATGATTAAAGTAATATTTTAATTGTTTACAGCGTCACAAATAATTTAAAAAATGCACGAAATTTTTACATAAAATACAAGGATTACCCGAATTGTCTTATTAATAATCGATCATTAATTTGGGGACGAGTCTTAACAACTAGAAAGGTTGAAAATTACTTATTTAAATTACACTAAATATGTATAGAAAGAAGAGAAATGTGCAATTTCTCATTTTCTAATTTATAATTACATTTTTGTTTACATGTCGTCTTTATATTCATGTTTAATTAATTTTTTTAGATGTTGGTGTATACAACAAATATTGTTGCCGCATTTATAAAAGAACAAAGATATATAATAAGAGCTTTGCTTTTATATGGAGATAATTAAATAGAGCATTATATAAGTATTATGAGTGCAAGTTATATACATATGATGCAAAATGTGAGTAATTATATTAATTTGAGCATATTTATGTATACTCATAATGACATTTTTTACAAACAGTTTCAAGATATCATATGTCCGTGTTTTGAGTAGCATATGAGCCTGCATCTGTGTCTATTTTTGTCATCATGTTTTAAGAAATATGAGTACAATATGAGTAAAGTACATCCGTGCACTAACAATCGCATATTAGTATATAATATATACAATTGTAAAAATATTGAATATTGTGAGATTCTTTTAGATAACAATTCTTTTACATAACAATATGTATAATTTACAATTTTTTATAAATTAACGTGATTTAGTGTTTATTGAAACATTTATTCACAAAAAAATCAATTAAAGTACAAATTTTACAGTTTGTGTCTTATATTTCGTTTTAAATAGTAGAACAAATAAATAAAAACAAAATATGCCGTAGTTGCATGGACCAACATAATAGACAGATGTCATATTGACATATACATGTATATATACGTATATGTTCGACTTCTGTAGAGAAATACTATGTCCCATTTTTGTATGCAATGTCAATTGAGAATCATCGACGAATAAAATATATTTATTGTTCTCTGCTATATTTATTGTATTTATTAATATAAACAATAAAATAAGAAAAATTGTGATTGCAAGAATTTGAATTAGTGCAGTAGAATTTATAAATTTTAAAATTTAAAAAAATTAATTGATTTATGAACTTTTTTTTAATACTTTAAGTATATGCAAAATATGACATAATTAAAATTTACCATTTATTAATATCTATTAATTTGAAACATTTATAATTAATAGTGTTGCATTTGAATAAGTAAAAACAGATATATTAATAATTAATGATTTTTATCGTTTGAAATATATATAATACTCTTGTGTTGAAGGAGACAATAAAAACGTATTAATAATATTAAATTTTGTATAATATATTGTATGATAATTGTAGATTTTGAAAATTTGTGCAAGATTCAAGCAAGACTTTAAAATTTGACTAATTCCAACAAGTTATATCTTTCTTTTATGTAGAGGATCTCTTCAATGGATAAGACATTATTTTAAGAAATATAACAAACAACGTTAAATATAAATTAAAATATATTATAATGTGGTAATTGTACAAAGACTTATACAAAAAAAAATTTTTTATATATCTGAAAATATAAAAAACACATAATTGAGAAACACATGCTTAGTGATGAAACAGCAAATGTACTCCGTATTTGGGTACAGAACACATTTAATGTCATTAAAATGTGACACTTTAATTTCCGTTTCTTTGAAACTTCTGTTAGAACACTCATCTTATATTTTATTTTTCAAAAATAAATTTATTAATTTTACAAATATGTTTCTTCAGTGATCGAGCGATTTAAACAATATATAATCTTCTACATCACGGTATATAATAATTTACACCCCGTATATACGCGCGAGTGAATTACATAAAATTGTCGAAATTCTTAAAATTGACACATTATTTATTAAAAAGAACAAAAAATAAACAGAAAGAAAGAGAGGAAAACAGATTGAAATATATTTCATATTATAAACAATGTCGTAACGATACTAATAATTCGTATAAATATTCGTATTTATAAATTAAAATAAGTTTAAACAAATTTAATTGAATTAAAATTAATAATCTGAACATTAATTTAAATGTCTGTGCTGTATTTTATAAATTTATAAATTCATTCTTTGATTTTATTATACGGCGCATTTATCATGATGTAAAATATATTAACTAATTCCGTTAGACAATCAAAGGAAGAACATAAATTTAATGGAATAAAAATCATAACAAAGTTTAACATAACTATTAACGAAGAATGTTTTCATCGTATCATTTATGCAGAGCATCTTTTCGATGGATGTGGCATTTTTTTAGAAGGTATTAACAAACAATGTGAAGCATGCGATATCTGTGATAAAAATTTCATCCTATTATCTATCGATACATCTGTGATATATCATATAAAAATAAAGCATATAAAAATTTATACATAATGTTTCAAGTGTGCGGCCTTCTTCTTCTATATCAAAAAATATATTAAAATCAGATAATTGTACAAAGACTTATACCAAAATATTTTATATATCTGAAAATATAAAAAAACAATTGAAACACACCTGCTTAGAACAGCAAATATACTCCACACTCGGTTATAAAACACATTTAAGGTCATTCTGAAACGCAAGATTTGCGACAAATTTAATAAGATAAATAATTCTTTTAAATTAATGATATTTATTTCAATTTCATAATATCTCTGCACCTCTCCAAGAGCTACCAAAAGAATAAGTGAAAAACCGATAAATATAAATATTATTATTTAGTTTTTTTTTAGTGATTAATATAAACTTTTGAAAAATAAATGAACAAATATACTTAATGAATAAGAAAGTTAGTCTCGAAATAAACAAGGGTATGCGAGCCGAAGGCGAAGGTTTGTGTTTTAAATAATAAAAATTAATTTTTCCCCTATGTCATATAATTGTGCACGAAGCACGGAATTTGCATAGTGCTAACAATAAGATTATTTAGGAATAAATTTCAACTTGGTTCTCAATTTTAGAATCTCTATTTTAATTCCTAAGTTCTCGATTCAGCAACTTCTGGATCGATATATTTTGCTTTTCTACATTTTCTTAAGGGAATCAGACGAAAACATAGGAACTAAAATCTAGAATTGAGATTTATTCACAAACATCCGCGTTGAGTTCGCATAGTCTGTACGATTATTCTGACGTATGGTAATTAAATCGAAAATTAGTTTTGCATTAATCCTTTCAAGAAAAATTGAATAATGTAAAATAGATATTTTCTATAGTTAAAGAGTGCATGATATATTTTCTTCCTGTCACTTATGCTTTAATTGCATTTGCTAATCTTTACAGTCTTCTTTTCGGAGAATCGAGGATAAATACGCTTGTTGTTTTTTCTCTTAATAGTAAATTGAAGAGAGATTCCGGACCGCATTTCGAGAACAGTATATCCGATACTGACAGGCTTTTTTTACAGAAGGACGAAGAGGTAGGAACGATATTATTAGTTTATTTAATTAAAATATATAATTATTTATATAATTAATTACACAGGATATTAAAAAATTAGACCGATAAATCGAAAAAAAGACTTCAAAATTTTTGGTTAATACTATTTTTCTCTACGATATGTTTATTTATACTGAGTTTTATATTTATAATAAAAAATTGTTAACTTGACTAAACCGTTCAACTAAAAATTTTGTTAATTAAACATATTCAAATGAAATGTAACATTAAATATAAAAAACGTGTATTTGATTTAAATATTAATATATGTTCAACAAATGCATAAAAATAATTCTCTCTTTTTACACACACACACACAGTAAATGGTCAAAAATTCCTCCAATAACTTTATTACAGATGATAAACTAAAAAGTCACAAACTCGTATTTCATATGTAGTACCTATTAAAATTAAACATTATAGAGAAAATTAGTATTAATAAAAAATGTTAATTTTGAAGTCTTCTTTCTCCATGTGTCGATATAAGTTTTTAATATCCTGTATAATTAGAAAATAATTTTCAAAATTTGTCATTTATACACTAGAAAGAAATTTATTAATTTGACTAAACCTTTCAACTAAATTACTATTTTGTTAATTAAACATATATTACTATTTAAATAAAATTTACGTTTTGTTAAATTTATATCAATGTTATATTTATTTTAAATATGTCTATGTGGTCAATTAACAAAATAATATTTTGTTGAAAGATTTAGTCAAGTTAACCAATTTTTTCAGTGAACAATTAAAGAAAATATATTTCCAATTCATGGTTGAGTAATAATAAGTTAAAAGTTTAAAAAAAAGTTAAATAGTTAATTTAAAGTTAGTTGCTTATAAAATTAATTTAATTAAGTTGTCTGAAGAAAAAATTAACTCATTGTCAGTTAGAGTGAAGTTAAAATTAAATTAACTGAAATTAAATCAAAAGTTAGTTTTTCAAAACATTATTTATATTAAATTAGAATTTTGTTTGTTAATATTTTTAAAATTTATAATAACAAATAAAGAAATTTTGATTTTGATATAGAAATATATTTTTCTTGTAATTATAATTGTGTGTGTGTGTGTGTGTGTGTGTGTGTGTGTGTGTGTGTGTGTGTGTGTGTGTGTGCGTGCGTGCGTGCGTGCGTGCGTGCGTGCGTGCGTGCGTGCTAAATAACTTTAAACATAGCTTAATAAATGTAAAATGTATCAATTTTTAACTTGAACTAATTATTTTTGACCTAAACTTATTAACTTTTTTCCCAAGTTAATTTTTTAATCTCTGAATATCATTATTGGTTTTTGTAAGTTATAAATGTATTTTTAAATTAAAGTCATCATTAATTTTTGTTCATTTGTCATCACACACGCGCACGCGCACGCGCACGCACGCACGCACGCACGCACGCACGCACGCACGCACGCACGCACGCACGCACGCACACACACACACACACACACACACACACACACACACACACACACACACACACACACAATTATAATTATAAGATAAATATATTTCTATATCAAAATGAAAATTTCTTTATTTGTTATTATAAATTTTAAAAATATTAACAAACAAAATTCTAATTTAATATAAATAATGTTTTGAAAAACTAACTTTTGATTTAATTTCAGTTAATTTAATTTTAACTTCACTCTAACTGACAATGAGTTAATTTTTTCTTCAGACAACTTAATTAAATTAATTTTATAAGCAACTAACTTTAAATTAACTTAGTTTTAAAAAATCATGAACTTACCAGACCCTGATATAATTTAATAATAATATATAATAAAAAAAAACATTTTCAAGTATACGCAAGATTAATAAAAGCCACACTAAAAAAAATGTGTTAACTTGACTATAAACCTTTTAACTAAATATATATTACGTTGTTAATTGAACATATACAAATGTTTAAATTAAATATAATATATTAAGTCTAACACGAAATACATATTTGACTTAAATACTAATATATGTTTTGTTATAGATTTAATATCTTATATTTAATTTAAATATTTTTATATATGTTCAATTAACAAAATAATATTTAGTTGAAAGGTTTAGTCAAGTTAATAAATTTTTTTCACAGTGCAACTTATTTTAAAAATTTTTATTTAATTTGAACGTTGCGATCCTTTCCATTTGGAAATTACCCAACCCTGTTCCAATTTAATTTTGACAAAAATGATTTTCCTAAATATCAATCGCACTGTATCAACTGACGATTCGCGATTCGCAGATACGAAGAATGCGAGACATTCTGGCGCAGATGCAAGAGAAGCTCAAAGCGACCGGTCAAGTCGGCGGTGGAGGATTGAGAGGTCGAGTCGGCAGCCTCGGCAACGATTTAGATTCCGTGGACGTCGAGAAGAAGCGGAACAGTATTATAGACGTTTGAAGAGCGTAGATTATTTATCATACCCTCGGAATATATTTAGAATACAGTATTCAAAGTTTATAGCCCACCCGACCCATACAGCACAGATTATTGCAATTATATTGCAGCAACGTTGCAATGTTGCAAGTTGCAATGCAACATTATACAGACATTGCAGAGATATAGGTGCACAAAATTCCAGCACACTTGTAGCAACATGACATTAATATTTCGGAAATATTGCATGTAATCCAAATTCTATAATTTATATATTGTAATATATATAAATTAACTACAACATATTTTCATTAATAATTTATTTACATTTATATACCTGTATATGCAACATTAGTTTATAGTTGCAATAACAATGCATTATTGCAAATTCATAACATTGCAATATTTTGTTGCAATCTTCCAAAAAGCGGACATTTTAACATTGCTGCAATTCAACAGCAATGATGTAGCAACATTTTGCAGTGAATTTGCAATATTGCAATATTGCGGTGAAAGATTGTTGTAATGTTTTTGCAATCTATCGGTGCTGTATGGGGAGAGATCTGTACATATTTCGTTCAATTTCTGACAAGTTTTCCGATACAGATGTTGCGCGAAACGTAATAAAAAAAAATACTAAAGATTTTATCAAGCTTTTCGAGATTATATGTCAGTACGGAGACCAGGTAAAAATTTGTTATATATAATTATATATAAATAATTGTATAATTATACATATAATCGTAAAATTTATTTGGTTTAGAAAATATATTACGAGAAGTGCCGCAGAAAATTTATCTTGATCGGAAAACGTGAAAAGTCGAAGACTAACAGCAACGAAGACATAACAATTGTGACTCCAAGAAATTCAAGCTTACCCTCGACTCGTTCAATTCTCAGAAGCAGCCCGAGCTCGGCCACGAAGACCACCTGCTTATCGCCGATTCTCTCTTCACACTCTATTCGCACAAACTCAAGCACACTCGCGACGCGATACACACGTACCATTTTAAAATTTTACGACTCGGGGAAAAAAACCTTCATTCTTGGCGAAGAATTTACGAAAATACACTAAACACGCGATTCTCGGGTTCGTGCAAATCCACGGTGAGATTGTCAACATGTTTTGCAGCGATTGTAGAGTATTTGGAAACGAGTCTGCGAACAAAATTAATAACAACTTTTCTGATATGTATTTCCGATTTTATACTCGCTCGCAGGCAATATTTATTTTCAATAGTTTTAATTAGTTTTATTAATACGTACGCGCCGCTTCTCAGTCCTTCGCGAAAACAAATATATGTGATATTCTTTCTCGTTTTCATTCGGCACGTCTTTATCGCGACTGCGTTTTAGCAATAATAAGGTGTCGCTTGAGTCGCCGAAATTCGCGGCAAACTTCACTTATTCCTACCTGCGAGGAAGCGTCCAATTTCTGAAATTATTCCGAGCTCCGCCGCGACGATTGTCTATGTATCCTTGTAGACAATCATTTATTCCGACGCACAATACACATATACACTCGCGATGCATTACGCGTTTGCGTAGCTTGAAAAAAACTTCACTCAACGACGAACGACTTTCTCGCTCCTTTTCGCGACTGCGCGATTTTCACGTTTGACACGTGGCACCACTGACAGCAACTCGCGCACTTTCCGGTTGCACTGTTGAGAACACTGACTACGGTACGCGGCGCACACGTCGCGTTTGAAAAAGTTTACTTTCAACTTTATTAACGAAACCCGCGACGTATTTTCACATCGTTCCGATCGCAATTCGATCGACATATCAATCGTCACGCGTGTCCCGTACTTCCGCACGCGTCTGTCACTCGACTCGCGACAAAATACACGACAGATGCGAGAAAACGCGCGACGCGCGCGAGATCCGACCGCGGCGGTAGCTCGACTCGAACTGCGCAGTCGCGCGCTGTCAGCTATCAGCGCGGCCAAGGTCATAGCACGCAGCACGTACGGAGCGCGTGCCTTAATGTTAATTTATAAATACGAATATTTATACGAATTATTAGTATTGTTACGACATTATTTATACTATGAAATATATTTCAATCTTTCTTTCTCTCTCCCTCCCTGTCTATCTTTATTTCTTTTTAATAAATAATGTACATATTTGAAGAATATTCGACAATTTTATGTGGTTTTACTCGCGCGTATATACGGGGTGGAAACTATTGCATAACGTGATATAGAGAATTATAAGTCGATTAAATAGCTCGATTACTGAAGAAATATTATTGTAAAATTAATAAATTTATTTTTGAAAAATAAAATACAAGATGAGTGTTCTAACAGAAGTTTAGAAGAAACGGAAAATAGAATGTTACATTTTGAATGACATTAAATGTATTCTGTGCTTAAATGTGAAGTATATTTGCTGTTCCTTCACTAAGCATGTGTTTCTCAATTATGTGTTTTTTTCTATTTTTAATTAATTAATTATTAATTAAAAAATAATAAATTTATTTTGGAAAAATAAAACAGAAGGTTCGAGTGTTCTAATAAAAGTTTGATAGACACTGAAACTAAAGTGTTACATTAATTTAATATATTCATTAGATTTATCATGTATTATTTTTACTATATACAATTTATATATTGTATATAATATAAATTATTAATTTATATAAAATTTTATAAAATATTTTCGATACAAAATGAAAAGAAAGAGAGATTTACATTTTGCAAATATTTACAGATAAAATTCTCAGCTAAAATAAAAGTCTCGATTTACAATAAAAATATTTATATGAATTATATCGCTAGAACATTATTTAGACATTGAAATGTTTGGTAATACATATGGGCATCTAAATTGGCTGTGCCAAAGTTTGTTAAGTTTTGTGCGTTTAACAAATATGAACGTCACGCGTTAAGTAAAAATACTTTTTCATTTTTGTTCCAAACTCATATTATTTGCGATCCATATTTCTCTCTCATGCATGATTTTCGCAAAATTATTACTACTCCAAATTAAAAAAAAAGTCGACACAATGCAAAGCACTAGAATCGTAAAGTGTAAAATATAAATATATGAAAATTAGTAAAATTTACTAAAATAATAATTTGAATAATATTATTTTAATCAAACTTAAATATTACATAATATATATAAATACATGGAAATTAGTGAAATTTTCAATTCAATTCAATTGAATTGAATTGAATTGATAATAAAATAAATAATAAATGAATTATTTACCACGTTCTATCTTTCAAGCGCATAGAAGAAATGGTAAATTTGCTAGTTCTAAATTACATTTTCTGCGCATGCCGTGGCAGATCCTTATACCTATATCTTAGCGAAAACAAGCAATAACGCTTTAAAATTTGAGGTCACATTTCATAATAAAGAACAGACCGTCTGTAGTGTGGAAACGTCTCTCGTGGACATCAAACACACATCTGTGCTCTTCGTAATCGGCAGACTCATTTCGTGTACTGCGAAAAGCAAGGAATTAATTACGCGAATAGTTTATTGCAATCACTTTAATTTACATTCCTTTTTTGTGTTTTGTTTTTCATAATGTCTGAATGTAAGATAACGTGCTTACCAGAGGAGATGATAAGCCACATTCTCAACGATAATGTACTCACTATTGAAGATATCATCAACTTTCGATGCGTGTGCAAGCAATTTCGTTATGCAGCCAAATATGACAAGTTCTTGGAAAAAAAGTTATCTCAAAGATAATTCTTGTGGTTTATAAATCTTTTTGTTATTTTGTCTCATTAACCTGTCGCACAATGTATATCATTTCTGCATAGAACGTATATTATAAATATTTTATCTTACTTAATTATTTTTTTTATTGCTCAATAATAAATTTGGCGAACTCTACCGTTATATATATAAATACATACATAATATGTTTATAAGTATATATATATGGAATGTAAACATTTAATAATATACTTATTAGAATTCTTAATTTTCAGCTGCCAAAAATTGAAAGACCAAATATTTTTCGACCGATACTCGCCAAATGATGTTTATTTAATTACACATTTTTCGACCACGGTGTTTCGACCATATAATTTTGCTTTTTTGCTCACTTGACAGTACACTGGAGAAGAACAGAAATTCTATAAAACGTTGTGTGATTAATTAAATAAATATTAGTTGGCCTGTATCGATCGAAAAATATTCAATCATTAAATATTTTTTTTTAGATTTAATTGTTAAAAATAAAATTTAAAAGTAACTTTGCTTATTTATTTTAATGTGAATTCTTCAATATATTTAATTGCATTCTTAAATAAAAAAATTATATATATGATATATATTCGTGATAGAAACAAACAGATTTGATATTATTCTATCGGTTCTTTTTTATAAATAGCATTGAAATCACAATAAAATCTTTATAATTGGAAAAACGTGCCAAGTAACATATATAAGCACAGTCGACATTGTATGTAAATATGCTTTCAAAAAAATTGTTCTACAAAATATTTAAAAAGAAACATAATATATACATACATACGCACATTAATGTTTATTAATTGATATAGAATACACGTATTGAATTACGAAATATACATATTATAATCAAAATTTGAAAATATAGTTTTAATATACTTTTAGGAATATGTAGTTCAAAAATAAATATAAAACTAATGTTATTCACTCAAGTATAAATTAAATTACAAATTAATATATTAAATATTTTTTTTTTAATTTTTTTGATTAAAGTATAAAAAGAAGAGACATATATACTTATGCTTTGAATTAAATACTTAAAAAAATTTATTAATTTGAAAAATTATATGTACAATTACATTGTTTAATATCATTAGTGTTTGCTGTTACATAAATAAAATTATATAGATAAAACTTTGGAATCATCTTATCAGCATATAGATAATAAAAATACGTATTACCTTTATATCTGCATCTTATAGATGAAAAAAAGTATTTTCTTTACTATATAATTTATCTAGAGTAATTTTAAGATAAATTTGGTTTAAAATCATAGCACATAAAAATACTTAAAGTAGACTTAAACCGATAAAAATTTATAAATATTTATAAATATGAATAAATATATATTATTGTATCCCTTTTATAATTAACATTTTTTTATAACTATGTTTTTCAGATGGCCCGATGTAAAGAGACAATATAAAATTTTTAAGGAAACAAAGGATGGACAAAACATGAACTTTCTTGCAAAAGGCCTAACTTGTGCGACACAGGTGCGAAACTGCTTGTCTCACATTCTTTTTTACGATTATTATTACAACAATAAATCAAATCAAAATTATGACATTGACCCAATCGATGATGTAATCGGATTCATTGATAATATAGATGAATATTTGAATTGTTTGTTTGAAAATGAACCTTTTTTTCGAAGACTTACCTCTGCAGATGAGATGAAATACTTGTTCTATATTGACGAGATTAAATACTTCTTATCACCATCTCCACAGTAAGATCTTCATATATATTATAGTGCTACTATTATCACAATTTAATGTTTTATTTTATTGATTAACTTAATATTTCAATACATAATTTTTTTAGAAAAATTGATCGCAATTCAATCGAAAGATATTGCGAAATAAAATTGTCTCACTATGAAAAGCTATCTTCGATACAAATGAGTTGGACAGATATATAGTGAAACCTGAAAGAGAACAGCTTTTGGAAGAAATTTGTACTTTTGTGGCAAAATATATTCAAGTTCGAGAAGATGTATGTTACACGAATGTAAGTGCATCATTGGATACAATCGCACAAGAGGTACTGAATTCTCTTAGAAAGAAGCATCCGAACTTTTTCTTATTGGAAAATCAACAATATCGAAGATAATCATTGGAATGAAACAGAAAGTACGCAGATTATGGATACACTCCAGGAATATATATTTGGCACCTTGAACTTTCGACCATGCAGATCCTTTCGCGTACTTATCAATTGTTTGTGTATAGATTATGTAAGTTATTATAGATTATAATACATATTAATTATGGGCCATATTTAAGTTAGGTTTAATTCAGTTCTTATCACAGAAAAAAACAGTATCCTTGAGAGAATGCAAATACGCCTTGATTCAAGTATGTTTTATCCTTATAATAACGCTAAATATAAATAATTTTGGATAAAGGATAATTTATCCTTAAAACAAAGTGCAAAATATTCTTGGTTGAAGCTGAAATTTACTTATAAATATTGCAAGGACAAGTGACAAGTGTGCATCGGATATAAGCGGTACTTTCAAATAAATATAATTCTTAGTTCAAATGTGACTAAGTTTGTTTTTACCATATATGCGATTTTTAAAACAAGAATATATCTTAAGGATAAAATATACTTTACACAAACTTATTTATTATTAAGGCAAATGAAAATTTGTGATCACAAAGAGCATTCAAATAGCGTTCAAGAATAAAAATATACTTGAATCAAGGATTCCTTTTTTCTGTGATTAAATATACAGATTGAAAAATCCTTTACAATGAAAAATACCTATAATATGATGAATGGGAAGCGCTGTCCGGCTACAAATTTTTGCTGTTTTATGCCTCGACATCGATTCCGCACGCAAAGTATACTCAGTAAGCAAAAAATCATTGGTACAACGTCATTATTGCTGTCAAGTATGTACTTTTTAACATTGTATGCAACATCATTATGAACAAACTTTGACATTGATTTAGAGGTTTCAATAATGTTGAAATTAACCTTTAAAATATTTTATTTATATTTTGAGAGCACATTATGTTATTGAATAATATTTTTAAAACATTTATAAAACATCAATTAAAATATTTTTTTAAATATTTATTAATAATATTTTAAACATATTTCTACAACATTATATCATAACGTTTGGAAAATTTATATAAAATCAACATTATAAAATGTTGATTAAATATTTCTTGCTTACTGGGTATATACATACATAATTCATTCAAGTACGAATCCGCTGATACAAGCTTTTAATCTCATTTTTATTACTTCTGTATTATTCTTTTATGTTATCTCTATTAAGGACGCCATATTTTGTGCACAAATAATCTGCAGAATACTTTTGTATTAAATAATCTGCAAAATACTTTTGTATTAAATAAGTATTGTTATGAGCTGATGCAACAAACGGATATAAAAACTGTAATTTCTTAACATTTATTGTTTTCTATACAAAATCACAGCGCTCCCCGTTCATTATTATCAGTACTTTAATTGTGAAAAAAAATTGTTCAACCTATATAGCCAATAAAAAGAAAAGCCCTTGAACTCGAAGTCGGTAAAACAATCATGATCGGCATTCCTTTAATATTCTCTCGCTTTGATTAATTTATTCTGTATTATATTTGGCACAGGTTTTACAAACTAAATATGGTCAAGATATCATTGTAGTTACAATATATCATAGCGTGGCTAGAAGGCTTGGTTTACGATGCGATGTAGTATTTGTTAAAACTGAAACCTGTATATTTTGGAAACCAAAATTGTAAGTATAGATATATATTAGATTCGACATTATCATAATTTTTCGGTAATCTTTCTTTTCTTATTAAACGCATACATATATAATTTTTTATTATAAAAATATTAATAACGATTAAGGTAATATTTTAATTGTTTACAGCGTCACTAATAATTTAGACAATGCGCGATGTTTTCACATAAAAGACGAGAATTTCCCGATGTGTTTTAATAATTTTCCAGAACACTACACCGTGATAAGAACTAAAGAGGTTGAAAATTACTTATTTATTACTTCTATTAATTTTAAGTTATTAATGTACTTGTAAATTTACAAAGAATCAATATATTACACTCTATATGTATAGGAAGAACAGAATAAATGTACAATTTCTCATTTTTTAATTTACAATTAGATCTTTGTTTAACATTTAATCTTTGTTCATGTTTAATTTATTTTTTTAGATGTTGTCGCTACTAAGAGATTTCTATGGAATGTTTATAACTAGACATGAATTAACCACTATGACATTAGTCAAAGTGCATTGTGATGTGCTGATAACATACCCGCACTAACATAATCGGATATTAGTATATAATATAAACAATTGTAAAAATAAAGAACTTTGTGAGGATCTTGCAGATAACAGTTATGTATAATTTACCATTTTTATAATTTAACTTGGTTTAAGTGTTTATTGAGACATTTATTTACAAAAAATCAATCAAAGCAAGAATTTTATAGCTTGTGTTTCATAATTCGTTTTAAATAGTAGAACACATAAATGAAAACGTAAAATATGCCGTAATAATTATCATTATATATAATTCATTTACAAATCAATCTACAGATAGTTGGTCCAACATAATGGACAGATGTTTTTGACATATACATATATACATATATTTTCAACTTTTATATTATAGATATAAATAGTATGCCCTATTTTTGTATGCAATGTCAAGTAAGAATCAACGCGATAAATAAAATATATTTATTATTCTCTCTGCTATATTTCTTGTATTAATTAATAAAAATAATAAAATATAAACAATTGTAATTACAACAATTTGAATTAGTGCAGAAGAATTAATAGAGTATAAAATTTAAAAAAATTAATTAGTTTATTAACTTTTTTTAACACTTTCAGTATATGCAAAATATGATGTAATAAATTTGCCATCTATAAATATATATTATTTTGAAACTTTTATAATTGATAGTGTGTTGCATTTGTATAAGTATAAACAGGTATGTTAATAAAGAGCAAAGATTTTTATATTTTGAAATAAATTCTTAATGTTGATATTTAAGAATATCGAAGATTCAAGTAGGCATAGAAATAATTGAAAAAGACAATAAAAGCTTACTAATGATATTAAATTTTGTATGATATTAATATAATTGCAGATTTTGCAAATTCATGCAAGATTTAAACAAGACTTTAAAATTTTATCAATTCCAACAACTTATATCTTTTTTTATACAGAGAATCTCTTCAATGGAGGAAGCATTATTTTAAGAAATATAACAAACAACGTGCAACACGCGATATCTATGACAAAAATTTCATCCTATCATCTAGCGATACACCTATGAAATATCATATAAGAATGAAGCATAAAGAAATTTATACATAATGTTTCAGATGTGCGGCCTACTTATTCTATATCAGAAAATATATTAAAATGAGATGATTGTACAAAGAATTATACCAAAATATTTTATATATCTAAAAATATAAAAAAAACACATAATTGAAACGCACGTGCTTAGAACAGCAAATATACTCCACACTTGGGTATAGAACACATTTAAGGTCATTCTAAAACGCAAGATTTGCGACAAGTTATACGAGATAAATAATTCTATTAAATTAATAATACATTTATTTCAATTTCATAAAATATCTTTGCACCTCCCTAAATGTTATCAAAGGGATAAGTGAAACACCGATAAATTGATTATTATTATTAGTTAGTTTTCTTTTAATGATTAATATAAACTTTTGTAATATATAAACAGGGTTATGCTTAATAAATAATAAATTCAGTCTTGAAATAAACAAGGCGAGCCGAACGCGAATGTTTCTGCGTTAGAAAGCAAAAATTAAGTTTTTCACTATGGTTTATATAATCATTATGCACGAGGCACGAAAATTTCTTAATATAGTGATAAGACCATTTAGAAATAAATCTTAATTTTAATTCCTAAGTTCCCGATTTAGCGACTTTGGACCGATACATTTTTTTTTACATCTCGTTAAAGGTATCAGAGAAGAACATAGAAATTAAAATCTCGAATTAAGATTTATTCCTAAGTAGTTTTAGCAAGTGCTAAGAAAATTTCGTGCCTTGTACACGTGCAGATATTAGACGCAATGAAAAAATTAATTTGCATGAAGTTTTATATTTTTATAAAGTTTATATTTCTAAAATATATGCACCCCGTATATACGCGCCAATAAAACTACATAAAATTGTAGAATATTCTTATATAAACTATGTATATACATCATTTATTAAATATTCGTATTGTAAAAGTCGGGGATTTTATTTTAGCTGAGAATTTTACCTGTAAAGATTTGAAAAATGAAAAATGTAAATATCTCTCTTTCCCTTTCTCTTTTATAGAGAAAATTTCATAATGCACAGCACTGGCGTTTTAAACTGTAAAATATAAATACATGAATATTATTGGTAAAATTTAATAAAATAATTGATTATTTAAAATAAAATTAGTTTAATTAAACTTAAATAATACATAATATAAATACATGGAATATAGTAAAATTTAAAATAACTAATAAATTTGTAAAAATATATTATTTTAATTAAGCTTAGATAGAAAACAATATAAATAAATAAATAGTAATAATAATAAATAAATAATAAATAAATTATTTATTAAATTCTTATATATCTGAAAATATGAAAAAACACATAATTCGAACACACATGCTTAGTGATAAGACAGCAAATGTACTCCGCATTTGGGCACAGAACACATATAATGTCATTAAAATGTAACACTTTAGTTTCCGTTTCTTTTAAACTTCTATTAGAACACTCATCTTGTATTTTATTTTTCAAAAATCAATTTATTAATTTTACAAATATGTTTTTTCAGTAATCGAGCGATTTAAACAATATATAATCCTCTACATCACGTTATGTAATAGTTTACATCCCGTATATACGCGTGAGTAAAACTACATAAAATTGTAGAATATTTTTAACTAATTATATTCTGTTGGCAATATTAATACAACATGAGTGGAAACTCTGACGGGAAAGTGAATAAGACAAAGCGTAATAAGTGAAAAAGAAAAAGAAAGAAACACGTTTATTGAGCACAGTATATAACTCGTGTAATGTGACTGACAAAATCCTCGATACACGGATATCGAGAGCACAATAGAGACTGCCTCTGCGGTACAAGACGAAGCATCGAGCGCTTACCGGCGGCAACAGCGCTCCTCGCGAATAATATGCCAATTTGCCCTCATGACAAACACCTCATTCGGGCGTAAACAAGACACAATGAAAATATTTCATCTCAATATATTCAATACATAATATATACAGTACAGTATATACAATATATTGCATATAATTTATATAGAATTTTATGAAATTTTCTCGATAAGAGAAAAAGGGAAAGAAAGAATTTTACATTTTTCAAATCTTTATACAAACAAAATTTTCAGCTAAAACAAAATCCTTGATTTTTACAGCACAAATGTTTATATGAATTATATCGCTAGGACATTATTTATATACATGTTTTATTGAAATGTTTAGAAATACATATGTACATCTAAAATTGCTGTGCAAAAGTTTTTTAAGTTTTGTGTTTTAACCAAAATATGAACGTCACGCGTTCTTTCAAGCGCATAGAAAGAAATGGTAAATTTGCTAATTCTAAATTACATTTTCTGCGCATGCCGAGGCAAGTCCTTATACCTATATCTTAGTGAAAACTAACAATAAAATTATAAAATCTGAGATCAAATTTAATAATAAAGAACAGACCGTCTGTATCGTGGAAAACGTCTCGCCTTTACATCAAACACACATCTGTGCTCTTTGTAATCGGCAAACTCATTTCGTGTACTGCGAAAAGCAAGGAATTAATTACGCGAATAGTTTAATGCAATCACTTTAATTTACATTCCTTTTTGTGTTTTGTTTCTCATAATGTCTGATTGTAAGATAACGTACTTACCAGAGGAGATAATAACCATCATTCTCGGATATAATGTTATCACTATTGAGGATATCATTAACTTTCGATGCGTGTGCCAGCAATTTCGTTATGCAGCAACCAAATATAACAAGTTCTTGGAAAAAAAAATATCTCAAAGGTAATTCTTGTGGTTTGTAAATCTTTTTGTTATTTTGTCTCATTAACGCTTGTCGCACAATGATTATCACTTCTGCGAAGAACGTATATTATAAATATGTAATAAATACAAAATATTAAAAAAATTAGGTATGTTGCATTTATGTTGCATATTAAATTATTCGCTTTCATTTTTTCTATTGCTCAATAATTTTGGCAAACTCTACCGTTATATATATACATATATAATATACATATACATATATATATATATATATATATATATATATATGGAATGTAAACGTTAAATATAATATACTGAGAAGAATTCTTAATTTTCGACTGTCACAAATTAAAAGACCAAATATTTTTCAACCGACATTTTTCAATTGATGTTTATTTAATTAATCACACAACGTTTCGACCACGGTGTTTGGACGATATAATTTTGGTCTTTCGCACACTTAACAATAACACTTGAGAAAGCCATAAATTATATGAAACGTTGTGTAATTAATTAAATAAATATTAATTAGTTTATATGCATATCGGTCGAAAAATATTCAGTCATTAAATAATTTTTTTTAAGATTTAATTATTAAAAATGCAACGTAAAAGTGACTTGATTTATTTATTATAATGTGTATTGTTCAATATATTTAACTACATTTTTAAATATAAAAATTATATTAATGATATATATTCGTGATAAAAGCAAACACATTTGATATTGTTCTATCGGTTCTTTTTTATAAATAGCATCAAAATCACAATAAAATTTTTATAAAAGTAAAAAGCATGCCAAGTGACATATATAAGCACAGTCGACATTGTTTGTAAATATGCTTTCGAAAAAATTGTTCTACAAAATATTAAAAAAAAACTTAATCTATACATACATACACATTAGCACATTAATGTTTATTAATTGCATATAGAATACACTTATAGAATTATGCAATATACATATTGAAATCAAAATTTGAAAAGTATAAATTAAATTACAAATTAAAATTGACTATTATATATTTTCTTTTTCTAATTAAAATATAAAAAAAAGTGTCATATATATACTCATGCTTTGAATTGTACACTTTAAAAAATTTATTAATTTGAAAAATTATATTATTTATCTAATATAATATTCAGATAATTTTGGTTTAAAATCATAGCACATAAGAATACTTAAAGTAGACAATAAAGCAATAAAAATTTATAAATAAATATATGTATACATATATTGTTGTATCTTTTTCATAATTTATACTTCTTGTATAACTGTGTTTACATAAGCAGTTT